CTGGGCCGGAGCCGCGCCGTGCCGCGGGGCGATTTTTTTTTTTCTGATGAGATCCGCTTGTTTAGGAAATCCCGCAGTCAGCTCCTGCCTCGAGATGCTCGGGTGAGAAGAGCTTGAGTCCGTGGTGGGTACGTTTAGCTTTTAACCCTTCCCCGGAGCCAGGCCTACCATGCCGCTTTCAGACGTGCACCCTGTCTGCTGCCAAGAGCCGAACGTGGCAGCGCGTATGGGAAAACGTTACTGAAGATGACGCTAATTGCTGGCTGGCTCAGCAGGGAAGCAGGGGCTTGAATGGAGGCTAAAACTGAGCTTGGTGCAATTCCCTCTGGGCGCCAGTGAAAGCGTGCTGGGGGGCAGCGGGAGGGAGCAGGCAGGGCTGCCCTCAGACCACCTCTTGGCTAGTTGCCCTCCCTGGGGCTGAATCAGGGGCTTTTGCGTGGCCGGGGCAGCTCAAGGACAGGAGTTGCTGCCCGCTCGCTACGGAGCAGACCCGAGCGAGGCAGGAGGACTCTTCCCACGGCTCGGCTCCTGAATTCCCTGCCGTACAAGCAGGGACGGGGCTGCTCGCGCTGTCTGCGCGCAGATGGCGGCTGTGAGCCCTGCGAGGGGACAGAGGCGAGAGAGACTCGCTCTCCACCAGCACGGCGCCCGCTGGAGCGTGGGCAGGGCAAGCTGGCACCATCCGTGTTCAGCAAAACCTAGTTCCTTCACCGGGCGGTTCCCCTGAACTTTGGAAGCGGCCACCCTCCCTGGGAGCGGCTCGCGCTCTGGGTGCAGGTTTCGAGGAGCCGAGGCGAGCTGGCGCCGGAGCGATAGGGCGCTTGTGCTTGCGATAACGCTCGGCACCGTGCCGCTGTCCCCAGGGGGGTACCGCGCTTCAGCTCTTGGGGGCTGCGTCCCAGCAGGAAGGTGACCCTAGGATAACTCCCCTCGGCATGTCAGGAAGGTTCCTATAGCTTTCCTCTAGGTGGGAAAACAACTTCCCCAAGCCTCAGAGAAGCACAACACTTTTATCTGGGGCACTAAATCCCTCCCTACCTGCTCTGGCTGTTCTTGCTACGCTCGGTTTTGCAGAGCGCAGTCCCGGCACTAGGCTCTCCAGCAGCACGAGCACCAGCCCTCTGTGCTGGCTGCGTGTCTGTTGGTTCCTAAATTGCCTTGGGCTGCTCTTCCAGCGAGCTCTGTCTCTGGAGCTCCTTTCTGGATTATTTTCTCCTCGACTCCCCCACAAAGAGTCACCCAGCCAGACAAATGCAGACGGCCTGAAAGGTCCCCTTGGTATCATTAGGGGCTTTATGAAGCAGCGAGCGCCCATCAGCTTCCCCAACTGAGCTCCCTTTCTTGTGCGGTGGAGAGCTGCAGCTGGCCGCTCTCTTACGGGCGGTGGTGGGAGGGTTTTGATTCTCATCAGAATAATGAATCATTCTTAGAAATCGGAGGCGTCAGAATGCAGATGAGTCTTCTCTGCTTTGTCCTGTGTCTGCCAAGCTACGTTTCACAGCAATAGCCCTTGTGTTGCCGAACCCCGAGCAGAGGTGGGAGAAATGAGCAGACCACCCCGCCGAACCGGCGCGGCAGCGTCTGAGAGTTTGACTTCAGCTCTCAAAAACGCTCGGATGGGGTTAGCTCGCCCCGGAAGGGAACTTTTGCACGTGTGCTTTCAGCAAAGCCGTAGCTGGAGGCAAGTGAAAAAGCTTCACACGTGCTCCGCAAACTGGACCTGCGGGGCCTCGTGCCCCTGCCCCTTAGAGGGGAGAAATGTGCCAAGCAGCCACAAGTGAACTGCTTAACTGCTGTCATCTTACTCGCTAGCTTGGCCCCACTGCCCGAGGGAGGGGAAATCTGGCTCGGAGAGCGCACTGCTGACGACACCCCGCTTTAGGTTAGACCCGCATGGACGTCCCTGGATCCCGGGGGTCGGAGCTGCTGCAGGGTCTCTCTCATCACACTTACTTCCTTGTGCTACTCTGCTCCCTCTGTGTGTGTGTGTGTGTGTTTGCAGTGAACAGCATCACCTTGGCGGTGAATCTCGTTGGCTGCCTCGCATGGCTCATTGGAGGCGGCGGAGCTGTTAATTTTGGACTGGCAATTCTCTGGCTCATTCTCTTTACGCCCTGCTCCTATGTCTGCTGGTTTAGACCTATTTACAAAGCTTTCAAGTAAGTGGTCACAGCTGAGCCCAACTTTTCACAGCCTTTTTTCCTGCCAGTTGGTGCTTAGCTTGGGGCATTGCCTGGACATTGGGGGATTTTCTGTTCTTTCTGTCCAGCCTTCTAGCTTTACTTTCTAACCTTCAAAGTAAGGGTGCTCAGGATTTCCAGAGGGCCAAAAGCCCAGCCAGTCACTGTAAAGACAATTGCCTGCCCCTACGTGCAGCTCGGCTCAGCACCACAGAGCTGGGAGTCCAGGGAGGCCTACGGGTGTGCGTTGTGCGCTCTGCGGCTGGGCGCTGGGTGCAGCGACAGGCAAGGGGAGGAGAGCCATCCAGCTCTAGAAGTCTCTGGGGTATTTGTATTGACTAAACATGCTGCTGAAATCAATCACTCGGCACTGCTGCATGATATAAGCTGGTCTGCCCATGGCCCTCCGTGCAGTAACCCTCCCGGGAGGAAGGCATGGCCCCCTCTGCCAACCCTGAGCAGGACGCTAAGCTCATTGCACAAGATGGGTTCAAGTCCCTGCTCCGTCGCAGGCTTGCGGAGCGAGCGGGAAGTGCTCTTTGTCTGCCCTTGGTCTGAGTTTTGCCAAATCTGCAAAACTGGGGGCCTATTCTTTCCCCCTATGGGAAGGATGAGAGTGATGGTAGGACCACGTCAGCCGAGAGTCCTGGGGTTTGCCGCTCGTGTCTGAACGCAGATCCCTTGGCTGTCTCGCTGCGCTGGCCGAGCCGTGGGAAGGGTCTGGTTGAGCGCTCTGGCTTGGTGCATCTGAGATGGCTTGACTTGGCCTCAAAGAAACAGCAGTGGGAGGCCCACCTTAAAGGGGGTTTTAGATGTAAGCTGTTGGAGGCAGCTCAGATGCTCACAGAGACGCTTGCCATGGCTCTGCTGGCCTACAGCAGCCTGCCTGAGCAGGGGGACGTGACTGCGAAGCTATGTCCCTGGGAGAGCAGATGCCTAATGGGTTTCCCAGCTGCCCTTTCACCACCTTGAGCCTCTCACATTTTCTCCTTTGTCCTCGGTTTTGCAAAAAAGCAGGAAGCTACTATTCTCACTGACCTATCACACCCTTCTTCTCAGTCACTAAACCTTGGCCCGGGGAGGGGAAAAAAACCACAGCCCCTTCTGTAATAAAAGGGTCTGAGGTGGGAGCCCATAGCGACAAGAGCATCTGCCTTCCCGAGGAGTGCAGCAGGGATGGAGACCTAGGAGATGACTGAGCCCTCTCTTGCAGGACAGACAGCTCCTTCAGCTTCATGGCTTTCTTCTTCACCTTCATGGCCCAGCTGGTGATCAGCATTATCCAGGCAGTGGGAATCCCAGGCTGGGGTGTCTGGTAAGGAAGGAGCCGCTCTCGTGTCGGGTGCCAAGATGGTCACTGTTGCTGTGGTTACTGTCAGGGCAGTGCTCAACAGGCGTGTGGAGGAGATGCCAGCATCATGGTTGCATGGCCCGCTGGGGGCCTCCTTGGCGTAGCGCTGGGAGCACAGAAGGGAGGCATTTGCGCGTTGTGGGGGAAGCCCAGCAATGTGGAGAAAAGCAATGGGAGCAAGCTGCCTCTTGCTGTTTGATCATCGGTGCTTCAGTGGCTTCCCGCCTGGGAAAGACTGTTTGAGGAGCTGGGAGGGTTGAAGGAGAGAGATGTTGGCAGGCTGCAACGCGCAGGGCCAGCGGGGACGGTTGCAGGCTGCTTCATCGGTTGCCTGATCTCCTTGCAGTGGCTGGATTGCAGCAATTTCCTTCTTTGGGACCAACGTGGGGTCGGCCGTGGTGATGCTCATCCCCACCGTCTTGTTCACAGGGATGGCAGTCTTCTCCTTCATCGCTCTCACGATGGTACGACTGCTGCTTGGCGGGGAGGAGGGATGAGTGGCAGAGGGAAGAACAGCTACGCTGTCCGTAGGCCAGACGCCTGGGGGGTACCGCGTCCTTCCCCTGCCCAGTTAAACTCACAGTTTGCTGTTTCCACTGCTCCCGCTACATTTTGAGCTGGCCAGGAGTGGCTTTGTCCAGCTCAAAGTCTAAGATCTAGAATGGGGCACCAGTCTTTGTGCTTAAGCATGTGCAAGCCCTGGGGTGAAGGCGGTTGGGGAGCAGAGCCGAGCCCGGGCTCCCTGGCTGTAGCCGCTGCCTGGAGGTCGTTCCCTCGGCGAAGGGAGCTGAGTTTTGGGAGCAAAGATGGAAAAGGCAGGGACAGAGCTGCGCTCGCCCTCCGGGGCACGAGCCCGTGGGACTCCCTCTGTGTTGACACAGCCTGTTTTGTGGGGACAGGCACGCACGTTTTTAGGGTGCCGTGCAGCTTGAGGGAGCCCTGGCCGCTACCCTGGAGGTCCGCGGGAGCTGGAGGCGCTCAGCACCTCCAGCGTCAGGTGCGAGGGGAAGAGGAGAAGGGTGGGATCGCGCTGCCTTCCCAGACAGGTTTTCTCCTTTTCTGACCTGCTGTCTTCTCCAGGTGCATAAATTTTACCGGGGGAGCGGCGGGAGCTTCAGCAAGGCCCAGGAGGAGTGGACCACGGGCGCCTGGAAGAACCCCCACGTGCAGCAGGCAGCGCAGAGCGCGGCGGGCGGGGGCGCGCAGGGGGCCCTGATGCAGCACGAGACGCAGTACTCGGCCACCCCCAACTACACCTATTCCAACGAGATGTGAGCAGCCGGACCTTGTCCTTGGGCGCCAGATCGGGGGGGAAGGGAGGAGGAGGAGGAGGAGGAAGACGGCTGAGCCGAGTTTCCTGCGACTGTTTCGGAAAGGCGGACTGTACCATAGCGGATCTTTCTTTTCCTTTGTTCTCTGTAATGACTTTTTTTTTCCCATTGTCTTGAGCTCTTTTTTTCTCTATCTTACTTCTTCGTTTTGAAGAGGCCATGAGTTGACCTGCAGGACTCTTGTTGTGCGTGGTAGTAGGTGTACATTCGTGCATTTTCTTTTCCCTGTGAAATAGTGGATGGTGATGGGGTTTTTTTTAAGATTACTGTGGTGATAGGTGTATGTTAGAATTAAATCAGCCAAACCACCCTCCCCCCCCCCCCCCAAAAAAAAAAAAGGGAAAATTAAAATAGCAACCAGCACCTGTCTCCCTTTTTGGGATAAGAGCTGAACTACAGATTTTTTTTCTCTCCTCTTTCAGTCGGTAGTGTCCAGCCTTTTGCCACTACTTCTACCCGGGGCAAACAGTCCTGGGAATTCTCCTTTTCTTCTGCTTTTTAACTAGCAGGTGGCTGGCTGATTTAGTGTTTAAAAGTAAATAAATAAGGTAACTCGATCCTGCTGTTCATATGCTGGAAGCTGAGAGATTCCTAATCTACACCCTGGCTCAGGATCTACAACTTCTCTCAGTACGTGGTGTCGTGAGTAGTTCACACTTTTGACATGAACAACCAGTATCAGTGTGTGATTGTGAACAAGAGCCACAGTGCACCCTGTGTGCGTGTGCACGTGCGTGTGTATGTTGGGAGTGAGGACAGTTTTCCCGGTAAAACTGGCCCATTTGAAATTCTGCATCCTGAGTCTGTTTTTTTAAAGGATTCTGTTTAGAGAAGTGACTATGACTGGCAGAGTGTTTCCCAGAGGACCTATTCTTGGGTGATGCTCCAGGTCCAATCCTGCCACCCCACATGCAAGCACATAAAACCAGTCTCATTGACTGACTAAACAGGGTGAATAAGACTTGGCCCCGTTACCTTTCGAGGCATGCAGTAATTGAGGGCCCTTAGGAAACCTCCAGGCTAAAAGCGGATGGTGGCAATAATTCCTTCTCTCTTGCGACTTCTAAAAAGGGCAGCGGAGCTTGGCCTTGTAACTCCGCTAGGCTCCCTTGCACGTAGCGGGTGTAGTGACCCAGAAGTCCCTGCTCCTCCGGCCCTGAAACGCTGCCCAGTTAGGGCATGTCGGGCTCCAGGGAACTATCTTGCACATGAGCAGGAGGCAGCTGGGCTCACACAGCTTCGTCTTGCGGTGGGAGATGCAGGGAAGGGCAAAGGTGTCCAGCAGATCCTGGAAAAGACTTTGATCCATAAGTGGAGATGGTGATGGTCCTTGCAGGGCAGGAGTACGAGAAGCTCCTTTTTCAGAGATGTTTTTCATGCTCTAATTGCACTTTAAATAGAGCGGTCAGATTTTTCTCCCACTCGTGGAAAAGCAGCCCCAGTAGAAGCTGATCTGGCCCCTTTGCTCAAACTACTGCTGCCGCACAAGTCTCCCGCGTGCAGCAGGCGGGTGCTGGCCCTGCAGGTTACTAGCTCAGTGTGCTGCAGCCTAGCTGTAGACTTCCCCGCAGCCTTGCCCGCGAGAGCTTTGCAAGTCGCCAACCTCTTGACCCCCCCCCCCATCCCTCTAGCTGCTTAACGATGCTTGTGTGTGCAATTTATCCCCAAGAATCATGCCAAAAAGGACTTTATTTTTTCCAGCCAAGCGCACCAAGAATAGTTTCCTCTTAAGGGTACCACTTCAGTCGTTCTGCAGTAGCCGGTTGTCTCTTGGCAAGACTAAAATGCAGCTAACGATAAAGATGCCTCTGCGTCTATGTGTGTGTGTATATATACGTATGTATAAAACGTAAAGAGAAAACTAATCCTTTGCTGAGCCTATTATGTACTTAATCAGGTTTAACTATTGTGCAATTCATTTATAGCTAGCCGAAAACTTACTATGCCAAATCATGTGCTCTGTCATCCCGTGTGTGAGAAATGCTGAATTAACAGTAACGTCACCTTTTGCATTTATAGTAAGATGCATAAATGATAACTGTAACGAGCTATAACTAATAGACATCACTTCAGCATCTAACCACCCTCTCCAGTGCGTCCAGTAACCTCCTCCCAGTGTGCAAACGTCGTGGCTGCCCCCTCTCAGAGGGGCTGTGCCGGCGGGCCGTGGGCCGCGGTTGGTGCCACCCCCGCGTGGTTTTGGGGCTGGGGGGACCGTTTCCAGCCCTGGAAGGGACCGCAAGGTCCGGGGGCGGAGGGCCGAGGCGGCGGCTTGGCCGACCGCA